AATTGTCCACACAAGGAAAAAAAAAACCAAAGGAAAAAAAAAAAAAAAAAACACTTTCAGAGAGTAGATTTAGGTTAAGCAACATTCAAGGATTTGCAGGCAAGACTTTCACCACAGTGAACCATGAAGACATTAACACCATGATACATTAAATACACCAAATGCATTTATTTACTTAGAGCACAGAAAGAGCCAACTCTTCATTCCCAAAACAGTCATTCAGCAACTATTAAAAATTAAGTCTCTTCTAAGTACCCAGCAATAGCATGTGTTGGTGTTGTTTGTTTAGGGAGTGGATTTAGGTTAAGTAACATTTAAGGATTTGTATGCAAGACATTCACCACAGTGAACCATGAAGACATTAACACCATGATACATTAAATACACCAAAAGCATTTATTTACTTAGAGCACAGAAAGAGCCAACTCTTCATTCCCAAAACAGTCATTCAGCAACTATTAAAAATTAAGTCTCTTCTAAGTACCCAGCAATAGCATGTGTTGGTGTTGTTTGTTTGATTTTAATTGAAATATTTAGACATTTGGATTTTAAAGGGATGCCAGCAACCTTCAACTTACTGGTTGAAATAAGTCCAAACCAAGTTGCTTATCTCCTTATGCAGCGACAAACTGAGCATTGAACTTGTGAATGAACTCTCACATGAATTCAGATTGTGAGATCTGAGTTTTGTAAGCAGCTGGTCAATGCACAAAGTACAGCCCACCTGCCTGTCAGACCCAAATTCCTGTCCTCAGATGAAAACAGTCACAAAGAACAGCTCAGTCTGATACTAGGAATCTCAGCCCTGTTGAGACATAAGTTAATACCAATTTCAGAATAAACTTTGCTCAGTAAAAGGGGTCTATTCACTTCTTTATAATGCCAATTTAACAGCTGTTAAAAGTGGTCCTTACTAAAGCTTGAGGTGTCCTTATTTAGACAATTCTTCCAGATTTATGGAGAACATTAGCTCTTAGTAATTAAATGTTCTCTACAGCTATGATGATTAAGAAGAGGACAACTGGAACAATGACATTGCATACAGGAGCACTACTCTCTGTTCTAAGATTTTATTGTTTCAAGCTACAGAAATTTCTCAGGTGATTTTTGTTATAGAAAATTATTATTGCAGTCACTCTCATTGAAGAAGATTCAGACAGGTTTAGGTCTATTAACATGAAGGGTAAAAAAAGTAACTTATTAGGAATAAACATCTGGCAATAAGCGCCACTGAAGTAAAAAAAAAACTTCAGTAACAGACTGTAATTAAGAAATGTAGAAATTTTTTCAGTTTAAATGTAATTAAAACTTTTTAAAAACAATTCTTTCTTATAAAGATTACCACAAACTACTGAATCACTACAGCTGAAGAGAGCAAGTGAAATTTTTGAAGCGGCATTAAATTCTATTTAGGAAAAAAGTATTTCTAGAGTTTGCTACTTGGTGAAAAATAAGATCAACTCCCCTAGAGAAACTGAATCTAAACTGTGAACTGAGAGTGCTGGCATTACTGCAGAGAACCGGGTTTAGTGCTCTAAATCTGCAGAGTAGACAATTTAATAAATATTGAAGTTATCAAGTTATGGAATAATCATGTGCTAAGAACACTTCTTGCAAAAATATGACAAGTCTGTTACAGTACAGCTGTTGTTATTCAGACATAAAACCCATTTAGAGAAAGCACTTAGCAGAACCAGTTATACAGCTGGATGGCATTCACAGAGATATGATTTCTCCCTCCCAGATAAGCATTTAAGCACCTTAAGTAAGTGTCACACAGGTGAACTGGCTTAAACAGGTTCCAGCTACCTACAGGAGACAAGCGGCTCTCCTCTGCCATCTCCTTTGATACATGCTGGGAGCACACATTGCAGTTAAAAAGACTGAATATCCCATCAAACTTGCTTGACAGCCAATTTAGATATTCCAGCTTGATGGCTGTGCTTCAGAAAATTTTGGCCTTCAGGTTGAAAGCAGTTCAGCAGGCTGAATATTCTACTATTTTCATTTCTGATAAGGCTACTGAGGTTGGTTTGGGTTTCCCTCACGACTGAAGTCCCATTTACATATGCTCCAAAACAATTCAGAAATCAAAAGAAAAGCTTTGCCTCTAGAACATATATAAATATAGTCATAAGTCTTCCTCAGTGTAATTACACCCCCCTGTTTAGAAGAAAATTTACTTAATTTCTTTATTTATCATTTCTTTTGATGGAAACTTTAGAAGGTCAAAGAGAGGAGTTTATTTCATACGGTTTATGAAGGTTTTCAGAATTTTCATTGTGGAGGGACTTTTTTCCTAGGTGATGCATGAAAAAAAAAAATGAATTTTTTTACAATTTCTTTTGATGGAAACTTTAGAAAGTCAAAGAGAGGAGTTTATTTCATACGGTTTATGAAGGTTTTCAGAATTTTCATTGTGGAGGGACTTTTTTCCTAGGTGATGCATGAAAAAAAAAAATGAATGAAGTCGGATTCTTTAATCCAAAACTACAAAATCCTGAAGTTTCAAGGTAAGGCCTTACACAGCTCATAAGAGGGAGCTTAAACCAAAACATAGACAAAACTACAAAATTTTGGATTGAGGTTTCAAGGTAAGGCCTTACACAGCTCATAAGAGGGAGCTTAAACCAAAACATGGTAAGAGACAGAAGCAAGAGACAGAATATCTATGAATATCAGTGATTAATTTTAAAATGATATTCCAATGCATTTTTTTCCACTGCATAATAAATTTGAAATTTTCACAAAACAAAATTATATCAATTTTTAAATTAATGTTAAAAAAGCAAGAAATATACTTTTAAAGGCTCATTTATAAACACACCAAGAAATAACCTGGGAAAGGAATACTGCACTTCTTTCACATACGCTTGCACACCCCAGATTACCATGGCAGCACTACCAACATGTTTGACTATTGTAGCTCTGATTACACAGCCTACAACCTACATAACAAGTACATTTAAATGATTCTTTTTATTTTTCTTATTTGTATTCAGGTATTTGTACTTAGGATTCAGGTATTTGTACTTAGGATTTTACTTACTTGTTATTCTTGATCTACTATAGTACTAAAGCATGTATAGATATATTTTGATGTACTAAAGTAGTGATGAAACAGAAGAAGACCATAGTTGAATACCTAAATCCAAGTGAAAATTTCCCCAACTGTAAAAAATTGTATTTCTATTAATGCCAGGTCCTAGAAAAGGAAGTTTTACAACCATTCCTTAGGATATCATAATAGAGAGAAAAACTGGATCACTGTAGATAAAACCACTCTTCAACAGTGCCACTGGATTTAAACAAGAGACAATGTAAGAAATCCTTCACCTCCTTCCTAAGCCACAGGTGACAAGGATTCTCCTTTTCTTCCATTCGAAGTCACACAGTAACTGCAATTATTACTGGTTTTCAGCTACAGCATGTTAAGAACATCACATATTTTTAATTATGCTCCAGTACCAAAGACCAGCTCAAAATCAAAGTCATTCAGCAGGTTCCCAGGTATTTTTCTACAGCAAACCATTTGTTTGAAAACTGTAGCTGGCCAAAGCACCAACAATTCAAAGACCTGAACTTCAAGTGGGTGAATCACACATCTCTGACTCTTCCGTCTCTCGCAGACTGGCTCCACATCCCACCCTAAAGCACTACAGTAGCTGCATGAAGCAAGGACACTTTCATCTTAGAAGAATAAATTTGTATTAAGCATAGAAATAAAGCCACATGTCATAGACTTGAATGGCCAAAAGGGCCAGTCAGGCCATCTACTTTGAACAGTGTAACATTTCATCCAGTGCATGCATCCATTTGACTGGTTCAGTTTGAGCAAAGACACTTCTGATCTAAATTATTTTTACTGAAGTTCACTTTAGCCATTGAACATGGCTGAGATTTTCTGTTTGCATAACATCTCCCATGACACAACTCTGATCCAGAGTAGAATGCAATATTCTTCTGAAGATTGTGCCATATCTTCTTCCACTATACTGATTTCTTTTTCATTACCCCATGTTCATGAACCATCTTAATTAAAGTTTATGATTATATGACAAAACATCCTCGACTTGGCTGAAAACTTTCAGCTAGAAACACAGCTTCTCATGATGCTTCCATTGTGGTTGCAATTTTTATTCTAAGAGAAACTCAGAGTTCATACATCTTCCCTTTTTTTTGCAGCCTAATCACCAAGTCTTGCTCTCCCCCAGTTGATACACACTGATATAACTTTCAAGTCTGCAGCTATTGATCTATTTTCCACCCACCCCAACCGTCTTCTAAAGTCTTCCAGTGCTTCCTCTGTTAATAAGTTAGTATTTAGGTATCTATTCCTCATATTTCACAGCTATAATTAATTCTTGACATTATCTCAGCCATTTTTATACTTGTTTTTCAATTAATTTACCTATGTAAACACTTCAGGTTCCTTGTGGGATTGAATTATTCCCAGTGATCGTAACCTTTGTCCAATTCAAACACCGTAAATCCTTCAGCATTTGAGGGGTTTAGACAAATCTCAGCAAGGAAGTGTGTTAAGGGGTGAAAGTCTTTTTCTTTCTGTCAACTAGCTATCACAGGTAGAAGTTTCAATGTTGAGATAATATCATTACTAAGAGTAGCTCATGAATACAAGCAGAAAAAAAAGTGATTCTTCTGTGGGTTTTTAAAGGACTCCAAATAGATATGGATTTTAGATTATGCTATATATGCTTTAAAAAAATAAATAACAACTGAAGTATCATGATGTGAAATACACCCAAAAGAACCACTTAAATATGGAGACCTTGAATACATCTTTCCATCTGTAATTAATTCGATTTTCCTGATAGGTACTTGGAGAAAACAAGGAAAGCATCTCTAATTGCTTGGAGTCAGTAAGCTTACCTGAAAGCTCACACACACCACAGACTCCTGGGGAGGGATGAAGGGAAAGGGTGAGAACCAAAGCAAAAGAAAAAAAACCAAAAAACCTCATGGCTGAGATAAGAACTGTTTAATAACTGAAACAAAAAATTTTAAACATATTATTCTAATAATAGTAATGAAAAGGACAGAAAGGAAGAAAACCCGTAAGAAAGAAGTGATACACACTACAACTGCTCATCAAACACTGACTAGTATTTGGTGACTCTCAATAACTCCCCTCAGTCTACACACTGACCATGACATCCTGCAGTATGGAATATCCCTTTGGCCAGTTTGGGTCAGCTGTCCTAACTGTGCTTCCTCACAGTTTCTTGCGCAGCTGCTCCCTGGCAGAGCATGGAACACTGACAAGTCCTTGATTTAGAGTAGACCCTGCTCAGCAACATCTAAAACATCTGTGCGTCATCAACCTTATTCTCATTCTCAGCCCAAAGCACAGCAAATAACAGCTACAGGAAGAAAATCGACTCTATCCCAGCCAAAACCAGGATAAATTACATGGACTTAAGACTGTCTGAAATGTTCACCACTTTCAAGGCAATCTCTCAAGTCACCTCCATTTGCTCTGCTTTGGCTCACGCTGCCAACCAGTCTGCATGCATACAAACTGGGTCACTTCTGGAAGGAACTCGCACAAAAGGCACATCCTGCACATTCCTGTACCTGTTACTGACCACTCCAGCCACAGTGCAAGACAAAAACCAGTCTGAAGTAAAGCTCCCAAAGCACGCAGAGAAGGAATGCAGCGTGCTCAGCATCAGGAGTGCGGCCGCGTGGATCAGCTCCTGCACTGGGTGCTGTGACAGTGGTGGCAGCTCCTGCCATTCCCCTTGCCACTCCTCACCTCAGCAGAGCACTTAAAGCCTCACTCAGCTTGGGAGCTCCTCAGCTTCCTTCTGCTGAACACCCAACAGTGACACCCTCTTCATCATTAGACCTTGAAAGGCTTTGAAGTCAGAGACTGTTTTATTGTCTTGGATGCTCGCACTTGACCAGCTTTGGGCCAGCATTCCTTTTGAAACATCCAACTCCAAACTGAACTGGGCTACATTTGAGATTAGAGGTTGGACAGAAAGAAAACTACTTCCTACATCAGCATGACTGCTGCACAGAAGTACATGCTAATAAGCTTCTAGCTTCTTCATAATGAGTCAGTTAGTAGTGTATCTTTTTTTTATTACTTTCTTACATACAGGTGTCTAAACTCTGATTATGTTCTCTTCCAAGTACCAAAACCAGCTCTCTAAATTTAGTGCCAAGGTACAAATTAGGAAGCTGATTTCCCTCAGCTCCTCATATAGAAGAGACAGACAGACTCCTCCAGAGGATAATTTTGATCGTAAGAACTCCTACTTAATTACCATCCCAATATAGCTGAAAAGAAAATACAAAAACCTTTGCAAATTTTTTATTAAGATGATACATAGAAAAGTGATCACAAAAGAGGATAAAAATATTTGAACTTTTTGAAGAAAACAAAAAAGGTAAGTCAGACAAAAATTACCTAATAATTGTGAAGAAAGTGTCATTTCCCATCCTTAAACACACCCTATAGAACAGCTTCCTAAAGCAGTAAGAATAAATACTGGATGCAATTACAGCTTCAATATTTATCTTTTGTTTTTTCAGCCTTCTAAAAGCACTAAATGCTTCTGTATTCCAGGTGGTGAAGTGCATATTCCTCAGTACAGAGACAAATCCAGCTAGAGAAGGGAAATAATAAAAGAAAAATAACAAATAACACTGCTGCTTAGTCTTCAGTGAAGTATGCTTCCAGTCCTTCCAGTTCTGTATCATCTTTTGCATTTGAAGAGGTGGGAGTAGAACTTGAATTTATGCTTTCCTGACTATTATTTTTTTGTTGAAAGTTTCCCGAGTTATTGAATTCCTTCTTCGGTTCTCTACCACCACTTAACAGCTTCTGACTCTCTGTAAAGTATTGATTAGGATGATTCAAAGAAAACCCAATGTCATCAACCTGTACATAAAAGGAAAGGAACACCAAGTTATCACACTTATTTCTAAAAATCATATTTTTCATATTCAAGAACAGATTAATTAACAATTTAATAAATTCCAATTTTGTTGAAGAAAAAGGCATCAGTTTGTAAATAATGTTTCTGTAAATGTTAGCATAACACAAATCTCGTTTCATCAGAAGTTTTCTTCCTTCATTGCAGAAATAATAACTTTGGCATATTCAAACATTATTTCACACTGTCTTTTCTACAGTAAAGAAAACTAACACCCCAAAGCATCTAAAACACATAAGTAAAATGACATCTCTTTAGAGATGAACCTACATCTTAGTTGAATCTTAATCATCTGCATTGAACCTACATCTTAAAATGGACTTTCACCATCCAAAAAAGGGAGTGAGAGAGGTCTAGAGTGCAAATGAAAGTGAAAAATACTGCTAGAAGTTGTAGCAACTGCACTGCATAAATCCAGATCTTAAGTATCAGTGTGAAACTGTAAATGGAAAAGGGGACCTTCGTGTCTTTCCCTGCTTTCCCAAGAAAGCACAAATGCAATATTTACAAGGGAGTGAGCTAAGAGAGAAGCCCCAGAGATCAAGCTTATCCTTGCTCCATCAGTGCCACCATCAGCACCCTGACTCTAAATGCACAACCATTTTGTCTTCTGTGCAAAAAATACAGAAAACTAGCAGCAGATTTGTATTACTAGTTTTTACTTCAGCAGAAGTATTCTTTCAATTCTGGAATTATTTGATAAATGAACATTCAATTAATGCTCTTCAAATACTTCAAATCAAGAAAGCTTTCAGCTTTAAAAGGAAGCTATTCTGATGTAATGACCAAGAACCAGAGTTATAACTTTTGTATTTCTTTTGGGAGGCTCAGAAGTTGGAAATGCTTACTTTAAAAAGTGCTTTCACCTCCTATTCAAGGCAACCTGCATCTTTCATTTGCCTCTGAGTTCATGTGAATTCTAGGAAATTTTTTAAAAAACCACTGCTCTTAAAATACATTGGAAGACTTACCAAACATGGGGTACAACACACCATGGAAGACTAAGAGTCATGTACCTGTTAATTTCTGCTACCACTATATTCCTTTGTTCCCAGAAGGGAGTGGCCAATTCAGGCATAATAAGCAACTCTGCATGCACACAGAGTCTCCTAAGGACATACTGTGGCTAATTTAATATGCCAAACCCCATCAATTTAAATTTCAGCTGCTTGTGAATAATCATAAAGTAGAGGATCAGTGTGTGCTCTAAATGGAACCCTGATTAAATGCATTACCACTGCCTAGCTTAGCTCCATTAGAAAATGGTGACATGGATAGCAAAATCTAATTCAGACATGAATTAGCAACTGTAGTCAGTGACCTTGCTTGAAAAATCTTAAAAGTAACAGTCCTAGCACTCTAATTTGGTATTCAAAGGCATAACAAAAAAAAGCCACCAAAAAATCCAACCCAAAGTCATCACTGAATTTGATTTTAGTCTTATCTGGATGAGTTTCATTCAGCCAGCTTTCATCCATGCTCCAATTTTCATTACATGCAAACTAAATTACTTCTTTACATGAAAAAAGCTTAAAAAGAAGTGATATAGTGAAAAACTGGCTTTCCTTTTAGAAGCTCTTAATGAGCTCTGGTTGTTTTAACCTGAAAATCTCAGTTCTCTTCAAACCAATTTAAGAGTCACTTTGTAACTCTTAATTTTATTCTAAACTCTTCTCTCCCCAGCAGTCTGGAAAAAGCTGTAGAAGCAGCTCATTGTATGAAAGGAGCCTACAGCCATGTTTTCAGAGGTGATTGATGGTATTTGTGAGCTTTAATTTCTGGGTTTTTAAAAGTTATTTACTGTTTGTTAGTTGAAATTCTTGTATGATTCCATGTACCATTTTTTTCCTTTTCAAACTTGAATGCTACATAAATAAAAATCTATCAGATGAAGCTTAGACAACTCTTCAATTAGAAGAATTCCACCCACGCAAACCATCAAATTTTTGTGAGAGCCTTAAAAGAGAAGGGGGAAGATTTTTTTCATTATCTTCATTTGCGATATAGTGATATAGAAAGAATTCTATTCTCTGTAATTTTCAACAGGGTTCAGTAAGCATTTCTTTGAATAAGAATATTCTACTCTGGCTGGAAACTCACAAGAAATTTGAACACAAAAATGGTATTTTTTTACATTAGAATGCTCACACAACTTTATGCAAGTTTTACAATGTTTTTACATAATATAGATCAAAGCATATGAATTTTAAAAGCCTCATCATTAACTTTGCTGTAAGTTAGCTGGGACTTACTACCAGAAATATCTCTAACAGAAGCAGCTTTGCCAGTGCACAGTGGTAAATCTATCTGAATCTATCCACCACACCCAAAGAAAAATGAATTTTTTATGCAGTCAAAACTTGAAGCTTTTAACACGGAGAAGCTTTAAAACTTTAAGCTTTTAACCAAGCAAAAAGACCTGGCACTTCAGACACAACTGTATAATCCATCTAAGTAGGTGATACTGACACAAGACTTTTTTTTGATTTAGCACATTTTGCACATACTGGCTCTCATACAAACTCCAGTTTAATATTCCTGCACTAGTATATACTGTTTTGAAAACCCTGAAATAATACTTTTGAAGCTATAACATCCTTGGGTTTTAACCAAGAACTTTTAAAATGACAGCTGATATTAAACAAAAACCACGTGGAGCAATCATGGTGCTACAGCTTTCCTTTTGCACTTACTGAAGAGTTAACAAATTGCCTGCATGTATCTTAGTTTCTGCCAGGTCTATCACTATATCACAAGTGATGTCTGCTTTTGTTCTTGGTTGGGAAAAAGTGCAACTGAAGTTCAGGAGAGGTGTAGCACTGGAGTTAATAAGCCCAGGTTACACAGAATACAGAGAGCATCAGCTTTTTGTTAGCCCACGCTATTCGAACAGAGCAGTGAAGTGCAAGGACACAACCCCCACCACTACCCCCCAAAAATGTATCTCAACAAGAATGATGCACCCCAGTCCAGCTGCATGTACCAGCACAGTCTTGGTGCCAAGCACTAGCCTACTGAAGCTGACCCTGTGAACTTCGAGAAATAAAATCTTTAACAAGTCTCTGTTACAAAGTCATTCATAGTCAATCTTACCCACATATACACCATAACTTTTAACAATTGCAGGCAACACCAACAGCTCTTCCCAATACAAATCAAGCACTTTCTTGGTAAAATTTTTACATAATTTAAGCTAAAATTCTCCATTTGAGCAAGTCCATTATTTCCATGAAAATTTTACTTAAGATTGTTCCCCTGCTCAAAGAAACAATTGAAGTTATGCTAATTGATTCTTCTGAAATTCCCTTCAATGAAAAACTCTGCTAGTGATATGCAGGAAAGCAAAGGTTTGACTGTCACATAAAAGCTTTGGAGACACATCTTTTACCTCCCCATAGGAAAAAAAAATTAAAATAATAAAGTATATAGCTGTAGAACAGAAAAATCAATCCAAGGAGGCTGGTAACAAGTTCAGCAGCTAAATTCTGTTAAAAATTGCCACCATAAGCATGTGCCACTCAAACGACAGGGTCTGTGTATTTTGCTTTCTCTCACTGAAATAATATCAAGAGCAAAGCAGAAAGATGATTGTGAGTGCAAGCAGCAAAGATGTTTATATTACCACAAAATTGATAAAAAATAATGCTTTTCTGGAATTTCCTAGAGAAGAATGTAAAGACAGCTTTCCTAAAATGCATAGTACTGATTTATCTTTTGATGAATGTTGACCTCGGCGTCTACAGTCATCTTGAGAAAATATTATTTCTACTGACGTGAGCAAGTGTTACACAGAGCAAGCCTTACCTAAATTTAAAATTGTGTATTATTTTGAATTTCCTTCCAGATTAGTAGACTTCTTCTCACATTTTCTAAGACCATAAGACAAAATACAGCTGCCAAAACAACACTAGACACAGGCTCAGGATACACCTTTGCTATACATTCATACATGTGACTGCTGGAAATATGTGAAGATGAACAGTTCCACTTAAATCAATTGTGAAAACCAGTCAGTGGTAAATGCCTCTGGGTGGGTCATCTAATCCTCATCCATCTCCTCAGTAAGGCTGTTCCATACTCTGCTGTTTGAAAGTGATGCTTCCATTTTTTGGTTTGTGAAGAGAACAAAGCTATAAGAAGAGCTGTGGTTCACTGGGTTTTTTTGTACACCTTTGCTATACATTCATACATATGACTTCTGGAAATACATGAAGACGAACAGTTCCACTTAAATCAATTGTGAAAACCAGTCAGTGGTAAATGCCTCTGGGTGGGTCATCTAATCCTCATCCATCTCCTCAGTAAGGCTGTTCCATACTCTGCTGTTTGAAAGTGATGCTTCCATTTTTTGGTTTGTGAAGAGAACAAAGCTATAAGAAGAGCTGTGGTTCACTGGGTTTTTTTTTTTGATGACAAGGAATCTTGAACCAATGGAAAAGCTGCTTCTTAGAATCAAGAAATCACACAGGAGATGGAGTGTGACCATTTATTACCTTAAAAATTTTTGGAGAAAATTTTAAGATAACTTTGCTTACAATTAAGCAAATGGGAAAGCCCTGAGAATGCTCATCTTGATTTAAAAAAATAATCACACATGACTACAAATGTGAAAAAATACCAAATAAAAATTAACAAAAGGTACCATGAAAATGCTGGGAGATTGAATTCAGAGGTTTTAGATATTTTCCCTTTATTTTTTGAAGGTTTTTATGTATTTCATATAAACACATCAAACTTGATCAATGTATTAAAGCCTACAAATTTGATTAAAAGCAGGATATTGAAAAAGCTAAATGACTTTGAAATAGATATGATTCAACAATATTGACCTTTTTGGGAAGATAGCATAATATTTTACCACATTTTGTAATATTGAGGGTATTAATAACATCAATATATAAATGCAAAAAATTACAAAGCAATATTTGAAATTACTGAAAAGATAACTAACAAGGCTAATGATGGATGGGCAAACTGAAAACAGTCTCAGGGCTTCATTCATGATTTCCAAGGCCTTCCTCAAGACAAAGTGGGTGATAACAAAGAGCAGTAGCTACTCACATCATGTGTCAGCTCGAAGTACTTCTGACAGGCCAGCTGGTAATGCATGCCCTTCACCAGCTCCAGCACCTGCACGGAGGGAGAGCAAGGAGACACACTCACAAGGAGCACACAGCCAACTGACTGATACTTACAACAAGGTGTTCCAGGACAGCCCTGCACAACAGCTCATGGACATTTGCAGCACACCTGTGAATCCTACAAATAACTGACAACATTTTAAAATGCCCCGGCTACGTTAAAAACAAAAAAAGCACAGGAAGGTACACGCGACCCTTAAAATGTAATTTCAATACTCTTAACTTCAAGCATAAGTTGAATCTATATTTTGGTAATATCATTGTGACAGTTATTGTCAAACTATCATATTGCAACATCTCTTCTATAATTGCAGACATAAATCTAGCAATTCAAGTGGTTGAAGCATGAAGCAATCAAGGACATGATTTGTATTTTTATTTTCCACATTACCAGTTCATGCAGATGCACAGCAAAATACTACTGTGCTCCCATCAAGAAAATTTAATGCAAATCCTTTAAACAAGTATCTGTGAGAGGGGAATGCTTTTACCTTCAATCAGATTTGTCCTTTTAGAAATGAAGCTATTTCTAGTCAAGCTCAGCAGAATATGTGAGTGAATAGGCTGTTTTGAACACGTATTAGGAAAATCATGCCATCTTTTGTAAATACAATTTGCTTCCCAATTCTACTTCAGGTAATCTCTTCTGTGCTGCATGAAGTCCCATTCTTATCACTAGAATGCAATGCTGGTTGAAATATTTTAAAGTTTCATTACCTCCTCCCTCCTTTATATAATCTAAATGTATGCTCTCTCTGCTTATCAAACAGAGAAAATTGCTGGAATTAAGAGATAGCCTCAGTGGAAGGAAAAATAGTTTTCAAGAAATGTTAATTTCAAGCCATTTCCCAAGGTTGACCTTTGTGTCAGACACAGCAATATACAGCTTAAATCCCTGCTGTACTCATTATCGGATGCTGCCTTGTATTTATTGACAGATATATAAATAAATTACATTTGCTGAATGGATAAAAACAGCAACACACTGCCAGGAAAGTACTTAGTCCCATTATTTCTCTGTAATAGCCCAACTGATTACATTTCTATCCCTCTTGCCACCTCCTGTTAAACCTTCTGTAAAACACAAAGGCCAAAGCCAGCCAGGCAATGAAGTCTGAAATCTGTGTACATACATATAGTTCCATTTTTTCTCCTCTCTCCTTGAAACTGACTGGAAAAATCAGTAGTTAAGGGTTGAAAAACCTCATTTATTCTTAACACTTCAATTTCGTAGTGCCTTACATTTGCTTATTTGTTCCTTACAAATAATCTATGCCATACAAAAGAGCCACCTCTATTTTAAAGAAGATGCAAACCATGTTATATGTACACACTTTCTTAAAAAGTATTCTTCACCTAATATGGAATAATTGTTAGAAGACCTATTTGTCTGTTGGTTAGTTAAAAGAAACATTCACAATATTCTGTGGCATTCAGACCTGTCTAACCTGAATTTCCCAGTTGAAATAATTCGGCTAATTCAATCTAGTTCATAAACACTTAAGATTTTCTCAGAATTCTTCGTTATTTAATCAAGATTACATGTAATAAAATTATATAAATAAAAAGTTTTCTAAATTTAGGTGTAAATACATTTTAAATCTCAGAATCTTAATTGGGCAAACAAACTCAGGTATGCACTAATTCTTAGTATAAATCCTAGGAGATTAAAAAAGTTAGATACATGTAAGTTTCAACTGGCCACATCATGGAGGACGAGGTTCCCCTTCTACATATATGAAAGAGAGGGAGCATAAGGGGCATATTTAAAATATTTGAAGAAGAGTAACTTTAGAGATTAACTTGCTTTATCAGGGAAGAAGTTGCTAAAAGGAAACAAAAAAGATTAAACAGTGCAATAGAATGAAGCCCAGCTAGAAGGGAGTCCTCTCTGTGAGACAAACAATCCTCTATTAAAATAAAATAGATTTACCATCCCTAATACATATTATCTTTTCCACTACATTTCTGTCCATAATGAAAGCAAGCTTGCAGCCTTTTTTCCCTAGTATTTCCCAGAAACAGACCACTCAAAGCTTCATTCACAGCAGCAATCTTTTGCCTCTATGTACATTAAGCCATTTACACTGCATTGCTTTATTTTGTAAGTAAAGGTACACACTCAAGGACTTTTCCTGTGAGTCCTTATGTGCCTTTTTCTTCACTGCCATCTGCAACTTGTTTTTCTGATGTTGCTCTAGACTGTTAATGAGGCTGAGATGATGTTTGGCAGATGTATGCAGCCACCTGCTTTTATAGATCCTAAGCACTCAAAGTAAAGATGTTGCATAGCAGGACAGTTGGGGCTCTATAATTATCCACTGTTATTTTGAACTTACTCAAAATGAGTTTGGGTTTGGGGTTTTTTACATTGCAGGATTAACTTATTATGAAAATCTTTCTACTATAGACTCAGTTATGTGTGATTAATTTCTAACTTTTCCTGGAAACCTTCTTTAGATGCAAGGGAAAATATTTTTACAGACAGCAATAACCTAAAATTTTTAAAATATTAGATCAATAGGCAGAGTGTTACATTTTTTTTCCACTTGTGGTGGGTTTTTTTGCAGGTTTGGCAGTGTTTTGTTCAGCATTTTGACAGGATTTTTTTCATTCATAGAAACATATATCCATATTAAAGGCCTAGGCACAGACTGGTTTATTTATTTCCATCTCTGTGCAGAATGTCCAACCCACCTAAACACTAAATTTGTTGAAGAATACACAAAGTTCAATGAGTGACTTAATAAAAACCTTTAATTTAACCCAGTTATAGGGAAAAAAATAAAATTAAGAGAAAAATTCTATTAGAAAGAACAAGCCTTCTTCTGAAGTTATACGCTGTTCACCGACTTAAGTATTTTTCCCTAAAATGCTTTTACTCCTAGTAGGAAAGCAAAAAGAACTAGTCTAGATTCTCTGTTTCTCCTGTTTGCAGAACCAGAAATTTTTACTACTTTTTGCTTTTGCTATTATTATTGACATGATTTGGGAAGAAGGTAATTTCTGCAAGAAAACTTTCTGAAACAAATAATAGATATTTTGAACAAACTAATTCAAAGCCTGTAGCTTCTATTTCTCTATATGTAAGATGCCGGCAACACATTACAGTGCATTTAGTACAGCATCACAACAGATGTATTAATCACAGAATCATAAAATGCTTTGAGTTGAAGGGACCTTAAAGATCATGTAGTTCAGACCCACCTGCCATGGATAGAGACACCTTTCACTGGACCAGATTGCTCAATGTCCCATCCAGCCTGGTCTTGAACACTTCCTGGGATGGGACACCCAAATTCTCTGGACAACCTGTTCCAGTGACTCATCATCCTCATAGTAAAAAATTTCTTCCTTATATCTAATCTAAACCTTCTGCTCTTCAATCTGAAGTAGTTTCTCCTTGTCCTGTCACTACATGCACTTGTTCATTGTCTCATACGTAAAAACATAACATATTCTTTAATCTTTATAGTCTTCAAATTGATTAGCTGATTTCATTAGGATTTTACCTAATCAGTAGTATACTAGAGAGAGAAATGAAAAATTATACACTACAAATTCAAATGCTATGCACTTACACATCCACATGTCAGATGCTCAGCTAATGCTTCTTTCTCCAAGCATTTAATAAAAAAAAACTACTATCACAAATGTAGACTAACCTAAGGAAAATGTGAAATTAATACAAGTTAAATAATGCAGTTCTTGGAATAAACATCAGGGATAGCTCTCTGCTTCAAGCACTTTGATAACTAGACAAGACCTGTAATCATCTGCCGCATTACTTTGAGATGATTACTTCAGCAGGTACAATCCTAGACAAGATACAGCCTCAGAAAATCTAGACTGGAACAACAGGTTGGATCCAAATACTTCATAGCAAGCAGATTCATATATTCAAATACTTTAATCCCTGCTTTCATTACTGACAGCACTACAAAATGAATGCAATGAAAGCAGTCTAATGCTCAGACTGACTACTGAAGTCACATGAGGTCTGGAAATATTTGCTCTTTACCATCATCACATCATCCTTCCCTTTTCATATCCAGTCTTGTGAAAAAGCCCTTTAGGATGGGGTTTGTTCCTACCATGCAGCAATCAAATGCTTTATCTGAATTGGAAAAACTCAGAAACTTCATGAATCTTAAAGGAAAGAGTGCCTGTCAAGAGTATGGACAGCCCCAGAAACAGAATGCTGAGAACATTCTGTTTCTGGAGCTGGGTAAAACCACAGCCACTAGGGCTAGACACTAACTTCCATAATAGCCTTGAGGAACAAGCTTCAAAGACAAGGAAGGGCCTTGTTTGTGGGTTTGGAGGGAAGACGTGAGTACTCTACCCAAAAGATGAAAATCCCAGTGGGGAACCAATTAATCAGTGCATAGCTAAATTCAAAATAGATGTTTGCAAAATTATGCATCATTCCCAGAATTTTGGAACAGAGCAAGGAACAAGCATAAAAGGACCCGAGCCCTGGAAAAAACATGCTTTTTATTGAAATACATAGCTGAAAGGTCAAGCTCCAAACCATTCATTAAAAACAGGTATCTACCAGTTTGTTGGACCTGGAGTTAACAGGAAGTCTAAGAGTCAAAGGGAATGGTTTGAGTGAATGCCAGTCTAGTTACATGAGACAATTGAATGATTGGTAAACCATCCACCCCTAATACCTATTCACAGGGCTAAAGGGAAAAAAAAAATTTCTGATACTCAGGAACCACCATCAACATCAGAGAAGAATCCTAAAAGCCCTGTCTGGACTGAAGGATCCTGAACTCTTCTTAGTCACACAATCATTACTGAAACATGAAAACAGAGCAAAATGAGGGGCAGAAGTAATGGCAACTTGGAGACTGATGGCAACTATTTCTCTTCCTCTTCTCCTACTGGATATCTCAAAGACTGTCTGATGTAAAAGCTTAATTTCTCAGAAGTCAGGCACAGCCAACATTTTATTTCACATGATTTTACTTTATTTTTATTAGATTTTGCATGGAGAGTGTATAATTTTGTGGGGTTTTTTGTTTAACACTAGGAGTGGACACTGAAGAGCCCTTTACCCTAATTGCACTTAAACACCACAAAAGTCATGGCCAGGACAACATCCATTTCTGGGCAAAAAAGATGTTGATGGAGACAGTTTTCCTTAGGCACTTTTGATAAAACAATATAAGACTGCTAGTGCATCCAAATTCTACTTAAAAAAAAAAAACCCCAAAAAAACCCACCAAACCCTAAATACATACACACACACAAATAAAATCACAATTCACATTAAATATGAAGACACAGTCTTACTGTGCAAATTCACTGAAGAAATAACCTCTACTAAATCCTACCCACATATACAGCAAGGCATCTAAGCCAGTAAATCCTCACCAATCTTCCCAATGATTAGCAGGATAAAAAATCCTAGACCAGCATCAATTCTTGATATATATAAAGGAAAAAAGCCAAAGGAAAGTATCTCTAGGGCATGTCAGATATATAGACGCTTATTGATATGAACCAGAAGAAAACAGGGGAAAAAATGTAAAAGGAAAAAACACTCCTATAGTGAACAGTAAACTCTTTAAAATTCTTTTAATTTGTATCTTAATTAATCCTTCCAAGTGAGACTGCTTCAAGTGGAACTTTTGCATTCTTTTCCATCTGGTACAACAGTCTGTTGATGCCTGACAAACAATGGTGACATTCCACATAACTAAAGACAACAACTTAAAGCAGGTTTTTCCTATGGACCTAAAGCAGTTCTAGCCAGTTAATACACAGAAGTGTTTGGTCTCAGCTTAAATCTCACCAGTACCTCTTCTTTCAATGAAAATGATGACAACCTCTCACTGCCTTAAGCTCTTGCTAGAGAATGCAGCGGGAGACACAGTTCTTCAGGACACATCTCAAAATTCCAATTCCCACATTGTTTTTGCCATATAAGATAGATTTTCAATACAAGTTTACATTTTTTAAAAGCTGATAAAAATTTCTCCTTAATTTCATTAGGGTTTTATGTGCTTTTGCTGTTCAGAGGAAGTTAGCAGAACAGATAATGAGGAATGCATGGGTTTTAGAAGTTTATTATAAAAAATAATTACATCTGTGTAATGACAACACAGTAGTCATCCACAAGTCACTACAAGAATAAAACTAAATTCTCTAAAACACTGCCAGATTCATTTAAACTTCTTTTCTAATCACAGTGCGGTAAAACAAAGCAAAAAGAATTTCTGGATTGTATCCACTATTGGAATAAACCTCCTCACAATATTAAACAATAAAATCAGTGGGAGCATTGCAGCCAGAAAGCCAAAATTCTGGTATAAAACCTTTATAAGAAGAATTATTTCACAATACGCAGTGACAAATTGCATATGGCATTCCTACACAAACTGAAAGTAAAACTGAAAAGCAGTGTCTTCATAATGAAAGTGTCAAGCAAAATACGCCTTACCTGAGCTATTCCACTGGGAGGGATCTTGTATGACTGCAGCTTTTGCTTCAGCAGCTCGGGATCACTGTGGCGGAATGGGCACCCTGACAGTAAAAAATAAGCAAGCTCACAAACAAGGCTGTTTACTCAGGAGTTAGTGCAGTAAGGCACTCAAGAGACCAGCTAAGCTGTTCCTAATTGTCTAACAGCTTATTAATAGGAAAGTTAATTACCCATGTGTACAATTGCCTTTTTTTTTCTCTTTAAATAATTACTTTACTGCAGAGTTATCAGGGCACCACAGGCCCAAGAGTCACATAAAATATCCCACCATAAAGAGGCCACAATTCTCATTCACTGACAGGAAAAGAGTTTAAGTTAGTTCATTACTAACAATGACAGTGTTGGTACATTTAATAGCTGTGGAAAAACCCAAGAAAATAAAAGTAATGAGAGTGAACTGGTCTTTAAAAGCATAGTCCATTGTAAAAATACTACCTTATAAGCAACTTAGAAAGTTCCACCACCTAAGTGGATTTTTTTTTTGTCCTAGAGTAAGTTTTGAGACACACATGAATTAATGACTTAGTGTTAGCATAACAACAATGAAGCAAGTGGAGGTTTCCCATGTTTAGTCACACAGTTGTAGGAATTTTTAAAATACCCTAGCAAACTTCAGACTTCCTATATGATTGAATTCATATCTCAGAACACCTCTAATTGGTTATTTCTTAAAGCATCTGCACATTTAAAGTCTCCTTGAGTTGCATGACAACTTATATCAAAACTAGCAGTTATGAAATCTGATCTAAAGAGAGCAATTCAAGACCACTATGGTCTGGAAATTAAATAAACAATAAAAGAGACTACAGGAGGGAATAACTTCTCTAGCCAAGAGATTCTGCTGTTTGTAAATGCTTGGGGTTTTTCCCCTTAAGGAACTCACCATGATAATCCCCTTGGCTTGGTGGATTGGACATGATAATCTTCATGCAGCTGTATGGGGTATAATCAGTCCTCTTTCCTTCTTGCCCATAGTTGTGGCGAATGCTGTATGCATATCCTTTGTCAAACTGAATAAAAACAGAAGAATAAATTCTTATATACTGGGTCAGTAATTCTACCTTCTCTGCAAATAGAAATATTGAATAACTAATGAAATTTTCCAAACATATTCAAACTCAGCAAAATAAAACCCAAAAGTTGCTTGCTGCTACCTTTGAGTTTTATATTACATGAACTTGCATTTGTACATAAATGTTCTTTATAGACACAACTCAAAAGAAGTGTGTAACTGCACTGATTTAAGGTCTTTTCAGCTGATTCTGTAATGGTTTTAAAGATAAGATGACATAAGGATCAAAATTTTGGACCCCACAGTATTAGTAAATGCAGAAAACAAGGTAATTTAAAATCTTTCACAAATGTCCATCAATTGATTGCCTGATCAGGGGAAAAAATAGAAATACAGATTTCTTTACTCAGGTTCTTGTTCTCCCAAAGTACAGCGTTACACCTAGACTTTGCTTCAGCACTGAAGTTCAATTCTTCAGATTCTAAAATGAAGTACACTTCATATACTTCTTGTATAAAAAAGATTTTCTCTTATGTCTACCAATAGACTACCAACTCCTCCAATAAAATGAAATCTTCTAAAGGATATAGATGTAATCAAGCATTTATCTTACAGCTGAGCACAAAGCTATCAATATATCATTTTAGACTTGTGGAAACCATGCAATTATATGAGTTCGTGTCATTTTTTACATGGTAATAGGTGACAAAATCTGTAGAGGAATCAGATTACTTAATATGCAAATTCCATTAAATTGCATTATCTACTGTAAGATATTAAGGAACATTTGTTCAAATAACATACTTCAGGTTCCAAAAACCACAAATATGAAAAAATAATGAAGCATCATATTTAGAATTACACCACTTCAGTCTCTCTTTGCCTCAAAAAAACCCAGACAATACATAAAAGGAACAACTCTGCTCTTGCTCAATTCAAAATTATAGCATTAATCTCAAATTCTGCATCTAAATATAGACAATTCCCACAAGAATTTAAGTTTTCTTCTCAAAAACAATTTAAAATTAACTTTTCACTCTGGCTCTGGTATTTTACTAATAGAAGACAATGTAATATACTGAGAAAAATCATTCAAACATATACTGCTAACAGTACTACTGCAAGAATATTCTCATTTCTACTGATACAAGTGGCTCCCTATTTGACCTGTGGATGTCCAAAGAGTACTTCAGAACATTCATATACCTACGACTGGCCTAAAGATGACAGAAAACAAAATAGAAACCTAAATGTATTTTTTTTCATATAAAACACTTCAATGATCTTGAAAATATAGTTACTTAAAACTCTGTAACATAATATGCAAATATACATAATAAATGTTTATAAAAATATACACAAACTTTGAGAATAAAGTCCTAAATTGCACCTGACTCGAACAGTAAAAAAGAAACTTCTCCATCAAGATGCTGCTCATAATCAAGTCAATACAAGAAGACTAAAATTCAGCATTCATCCATAGTAAGGCTTAAGACAGCCAAAGCTCTCAATAAATATTGACTAATTAATCTATACTGTGCATTTGACAAAGTGACTTTACTCTACTTCAAAAGACTTTTTAAAAAGCAGGAAGGGGAAGAAAAGAGAGAAAACAGCATTTTGTTTTCCAGCACAGCCACAGGCAGGATCAAGCAGGTGGGAATACTCCTTCCTATCTAGTCAACCTTTTTGCTCAGCAGATAAAAGAACTGGTTGGTTGAATAGGAAATGAACACCACTTTTTCTAGGAATAGAGTCGGGCTCACCAACTCATCATTAGAAGGAATTCTCTGGGTGTGTGCTCCCACTCGGAAGGGCCAGGGAACAGGTCCCCACCCTCACACAGGGCTCCAGCAGCTGCTGGCCAAGTCCTGCTGCTGCTCCTGTTGGAGCTGCAAATGGTCTGGTTACTCCTGAAAACAGCAAAGATCAAATACAAAGATGTCTGCATTTTAATTTCCAATCTCTGCATGAACCTGTTAAACTGAAGATGGAATCTGTGATCCTGTAGCCACCTGTTCTTCTAGCCAGAAGCAGTGGAATATTTCCTCCTTTACAAAAGATGAATTAAAGCACATTTCATCTTCTTAACAAAGGATATTTGAGCAAACAATTAAGTTAGACTAATTTTTTTTTTCCCCAAGGGTAAAGCAAATCATGAATGTTTCAGGAAGCACTGCTTAGTTTCCTAGAAAATTAACACCCCTCTTTAACAGCACTGTATACTAAAATCTTGAGCTGTACTTTTCACATCACTTGCCTTAATGCCCACAGAAATTACTTTTAGTACCTAACTCATTACTTTATGCTGAGAAGCAGCTCTTGCAGTAAATAGAAACAGCAGCTACACAATAACACAACACAGCCTTGGGAGAGGTTGGATATTTTCTCACTGCTTTCTTGTAATCCTGTTTGGTTCTCTCTTTTTGCAGTGGCAGATGGCAGAGAAGAACACAGCTACGTGGTGCAAGTTGGCACATGTGCAGTTACACACATCACTGAGAGCATGGCAGATGGCAAAGAACACAGATACGTGGTGCAAGTTGGCACATGTGCAGTTACACACATCACTGAGAGCTCTCTCATCCCTGTGATTCAGCTTTTCCTATCATTGATCAAAAAAAACCAGGATTTTAGCAGGGCCAGTATCTGACAGGCTGTGTGGTCATCCTCAGTGGGAAGAAGCCATGAACTGGGGCATTTCATTACAGAAAACGCATCCTGCAGAACAGCCTTCTTGTGCACTGGGGAGTGAACTCCATGGTCAGCCTCATTCTCTCCTAATACCATTACTCTAGGATGTGCATAAAGGAAAAAAAACCAAAACATGAGGAGCAACCAGTTTTGCTAGAAAAAGCACTGAGGGAAAATTGGACATGTTTGAAATCTGCAGAAACAAGAAGGCAGAAGGATTTGTTCCTTCTTATTTAGTCTAACGCTCCAAATTGAAGTGGTTCAATTAAAGTTCATTGAACAAAATAAATTATAGACATGACATATCATGCATGTAGATGTTTGCAGGATCATTGTAATTGCTTGCTTTTAAACTATTTTATAGAAACAGCTCAAAAACCCACAAAACTACTATCACCATCTATTCTAACTGCAATCTATTAAAAGGGCATTATGGCAACAACTTGTAAAAGGTCAGACTCAAATAAAGTGATTTGAAAAATCACCAAAAATTTTTGGTGATTTTTGTATGAAATTTTGAGGGTCTTATTGAACCCTGATATGAACTTGCTCAACAGTAACGATGCTGCAGGAGCAAGTACATTTCCCTTCTACTCTGCATGACAGTTTCCACTGAGATGAAACGAAAGCAAAACAAAAAAATTATTCATAGAAAAGCTGGGTATGTTCTACACATTCCACCACAGTTGTGATAAATATCAACAGAAATTGCCAGTTACTATGAGACAGTAATACTGAAGCAACATCATTATACTACTGAGATGATCTACTGCTGGTCACACTTGACAGCAAGGATTCTCTCCAACTTTTTAACTCTATGGCCCACATCAGGACTATCTCATTTACTCTGCCTCTGTTTAGCTCTCTGAGCTTTCTAAAATCTGCAACACATTTATAATTTATGTGTGAGGTGAATGAGGCATGGCTTTGGCAAGGGAGAAAGAGATCAAGAAATGTATCTCATTTCAGCAATGAACTGATTCACACTGAGGCCAAGAAGCTGAGGCAAAGGCAGCCCTACCAAAAATTGTCACTTGGATCTTGGAATGTGGAAGTCTAGATATCAGCAGCAGTGTGAATTTTTGTTTTAAAAGAAACTTCAAGTCAACTCTCCAAGCTTTAACTTGATGGCTAAAGGCATAGTTTTTTAGGGACCTCTCATTCTTTTAAGCATGGCTGTAGGATGCAGGTGATGCCATCAGCAGAGCACTTCAGACCAGACAAGTGGGTAGTTCTGAGGTTTTATGCACCAGTGTCTGCTGCAATGAACTGACATGTCCATTGTATGATAATGAATGTGCTAGTGGTGATACTGGGTACCCTGGTGACACTGAGACTTTCTTAGATAACTTCTCCCTATAAGAAACAAAACACTGGGTAGGACAAAGCAAATAGTCCAAAGCCAGAACCAAGGAGGCTTGGGAGATAGCTCACTCGGTACAGATAAGTGTACTGTAGCAAGGAACTGATCTTTTGCTTTTATATGGTACATGAGTATCTGGGAAAAGCAGATTAATTTGTCTAATAAATGTTAGTTAAGACACATATACTATACTAGATAGCCTTCACTAGAAGATATAAAAAGTTAGAAACAAAAAGGGATAGATATAGATACAGACATCTACAAGCTATAAATTTGCAACTGGTATAGCCTAATACCAGATATCCATACTCCAGATAGGAAAAGCTTTTTTCAACAAGTTCTGATCACATAAATGCATACAAGGCCTTTAGATATGGGATGAGGATGGACCTCAAAAGGACCATTTAGCAGGTGTACGCTCTCCTCTGAAGGCAAGTTTTCAACAGACAGAGCAGGAAAGCATGGGTCATGTAATTATCAGTCTGATATAACAGAATACACTTTCAAAGCTAGCAAGAAATTACATTCCCCAGCCACTCCAATCACTGAACAATGGGTATCATGTCATCACGGACAGCTACCACCCCTATATCACTTGCAATATTTGCAGATTAGTATCTGTAAATATAACTAGGTGCCCCATAAAATTTGTAATCAAATCTGATATTCAGCATGCATATTGGATGGAAAATAATTTGCTGAAAGGTCTTGCAAGCCCTGTATGCTCAGGTTCACAGTTCCACAAAACTTTTATGTTTCAGTTAGAACTACTTTTATATATTCTTGTAAGATTTTACGCATCTATTCCTTACAGTACTGGGAAATTTATTTAAAGTCTATTAACTAAGCAAAATTTATTTATTTAAAGTCTATTAAGTAAGCAAAATGGTGCACCAACTTTGTCTAGCTTCTTGACTGACCACCTGACTAGATCCAAGTCT